CCGAGGCAGCTCTCAACAGACGTACCAGTACAGAAGCAGCAATCACCGGAGCCGGAAAAGACAAAGCCGCCGCCTGAGCTGTCAGTAGCTCAAGCCAGCGTGACATCGCCTCCGCGACCCACAGCAACATCAGTCCTGACCCTGCAGCAGGTGCTAGACAGAGCCCAACAAAATGTCAGGCCCATTGAGCTCCCCCGGAACATAATAAGGCCACCACTGCATGGCAGTTCCAAAGCGGCTACTCAAAGCCGCAAAAGCAAAGGGGGCTCAAGGACAGCCGAGGAGAAGGCCTTGCTGGGTAGCAATAAGGGGAAGAAGGTGGCTGCTCGGCCGTAAAGACCGCAAATAATGCCATCTCTCCCTAAGCCCAACGCAAACTCGAGGCATCTGAAATGCCTCCAAGTGAATCTTCATCATGCCAAGGCAGCGTCAGATGTTCTCTGCAGGAGGTTCACTAACGAGGGTCTAAGTATAGCCTTCATCCAGGAACTCTGGATACTACGTGGTGAGGTCAAAGGTCTGAACATCAATGATGGTAAGATCATATATGCACGCAGCCCTCGCCCAAGGGCGGCTATTAAGTAAAAAACTAACGTTGCTTCCTCTATTACAGTTCATGACGGCGGATCTGGTTGCGGTTTGGGCCGAAATTCCCACTCCAAGGGGTGTACAAGAGGCAGTACTTGCCTCAGCGTACTTTCCGGGTGAGGAGATGGCCCCGACAGCAGAAGTAAAGGCTTTCGTTGAGCACTGCCAGCAGAGTGGTAAACCCTGGATCCTCTGCTGTGACGCCAATTCGCATAACACTGTTTGGGGCAGCACCGATACCAACAAAAGGGGTGAGTACTCCTCGAGTTTATTAGTAGTCATAATATAAATATTATAAATCGTGGCAGTGAACCGACTTTTAGAAACGCTCTAAGGGGTGAGGTCTTGGATCTAACTCTAAGCAGTCAAAACATGTCATAATCTGTCACAAACTGGCGTGTCTCGGGGGAGGTATCAATGTCGGACCATATGCATATAGAATTCGACATGGGTCTCTTTCCTGAACACGAACTAGTTTTCAGAAATCCCAGGAAAACGAACTGGGAACTCTTCCGCTTTACTATAGAAGAGGGCGGAAACAGCCCCAAACACCCAATTATAACTAAACAGGAGCTTGAGGATGAAGCTGAACAGCTTCACTCAGATATTGTAATAGCTTTCAACAGTAGTTGCCCCCAAGGAAAGGTAAGATCCAAACGAGATGTGCCTTGGTGGAGTAAGAAGCTTGAGCAAATGAGATGCCAGGCCAGATGACTATTCAATAGGGCAAAAAATACGGGTGATTGGAATCCGTATAAACTTGCGCTAACTTCCTACAACAAGGAGCTAAGGAAATCCAAACGAGCTAGCTGGCGAAGCCACTGTGAGTAAATAAATAGCCTTCCAGAGGCAGTACGCCTCCAAAAAGCTCTAACAAGGGATTACAGGAATACAATTGGCACCCTTAAGAGACCAGATGGGAGCTACACTCAGCATCCGGGTGAGACCAGCAGACTCTTGCTGGATACTCACTTCCCGCGCTGTATAGCGGCTACTGTCGACCAGAATTGGGTGCTCCAACATCCACCTCTGGAAGAGAACAAAGCCTTGCTACGAAGCTGACCACTGTAGAGCGGATGCAATGGGCTTTATAAACATTAGCCCATACAAATCACCAGGACCGGATTGAATCTATCCATGTCTCCTGCAGCATGGAATTAGACACACGGTCCTCTCCTAACTCTATAGAGCTTCGCTCTTGTTGGGTCACATTCCCAGCATATGGTCTGAAGTTAAGGTTGTGTTTCTACCGTCATCCTACCGACCAATTAGCCTCAGTTCATTTCTTCTAAAAGGCATGGAGAAAGTACTGGATCAGTACATCAGAGAAGTCAACCTAAGGGAACGGCATCTGAATAAGAACAAGTTTGCCTATCAACCAGGCAAATCCACTGAGACTGCCATTCATACCCTTCAAAAATTGAGAAGGCGCTGGAGTCTAAAAATATAGCCATTTGCGCCTTCATTGATATTTCAGGAGCTTTTGATAACACATCATATAAGGCAATAAAAGATGCCTTGTTAAGAAAGGGTGTAAGCCCAATCATAAATCAATGGGTGTTATCAATGTTAAGAACACGAAACATCAGTTTGGAATTAGGAGGCACGATAGAATCGATAACAGCCACAAGGGGATGCCCTCAGGGGGGTGTACTCTCTCCCCTTTTGTGGACTATGGTTGTAGACGAACTTCTTTTCACACTGAACAGCCAAGGCTTTAAAACGCAAGGCTACGCAGATGATCTGGTAATCTGCATAACAGGGCTTCATAACGAAACTATCACCAACCGCATGCAACAAGCCTTACGCATCACACACAAATGGTGTGAGGATAAAGGCCTAACTATCAATCCTACGAAGACTATTATTGTTCCATTCACTCGAAGGAGGAAATTATCTACTACTAAAGTCACTTTGAGCGGCACAGAAATAGAATTTTCCAGTGAAGCTAAATATCTGGGAGTAACTCTTGATAAAACACTTAACTGGAATGCACATTTGGACACTGTTATCAACAAGGCGATGAAGGCCTTCTTTGCCTGTTCACGACCTTTTGGTAAAACATGGGGCCTTACCCCCAAAATGACCTACTGGTCATTAAACACTGTCGTTAAGCCAATAGTAACCTATGCTTCTTTAGCATGGTGGACTAAGGCTACACAAAGAGGTGCAAGCACTAAGCTAAGTAAATTGCACAGAATAGTTTGCATTGGCATAACAGGAGCTATGAAGACCTGCCCGGGCGATGCACTCAGCGCCCTGGTTGGAATACCTCCCTTTCCTATTTTAATAGAAAATCAGGCTACCACAGCGGCACTGAGAATCCTGAACACCTCCGACCTGAAAATCGGAAATATGACGGGTCACATGAAGGTCCTAATGAAATTCGCTAATGATCCTACAAATGCGCGATGCAATGGTTCCAAAACTAGAAATCTCTAGGAAATTTGAGGTACACATTGCAGATCGAGCTCTCTGGAATACAGGGAACCCATACACCAAACCTAAAGGGGAGGTTTAGTACACTGATGGATCTAAGCTTGAAAATGGTAAAACTGGGGCTGGCATTTTTGGGCCGAGCTTTAAAAAATCGATACCTATGGGTAGCTACCCCACCATCTTTCAGGCGGAGATTCATGCAATAGAAATTTGTGGCAGAGAATGTCTTAGAAGGGGAACGTTAACGAAATATATCTGCATTATGTCGGACAGTCAGGCAGCCCTACTGGCCCTGAAGTCCCACAAAATAAGTTCTCAGCTAGTATATGATTGCCGAAATGTACTAAATGCTCTTGGTGACAAGAATACAGTTTTATTAGGATGGGTACCAGGGCATGAGGGACATGATGGCAATGAGGAGGCTGACTGCCTAGCGAAACAGGGAGCTGCCGCAGTATTATATGGTCCGGAACCCTTTTGTGGGCTCACCAAAGCACATATAAAGGGGACTGGGTAGACAAAATGTTCAACAGGCATTGGATGGAATGTCCAGGGCAAAGACAAGCCAAACGATTTATCTGTCCTTCAAACGAAGTTCCAAAGAAACTAATTAATATAGGCAGAGAGGACCTCAAAACTCTCACCGGGTACTACACGGGACACTGTTCTCTTCGTTACCACCTCAGTAAAATCAATCTTTCAGAAACAAACGTCTGTCGCTTCTGTGAGCTGGACGAAGAAACGCCAGAACACATTCTCTGTGAATGTGATACTCTCGCTAGGCGCGGACTAGCCAACTTTGGTGGCGCTACCCTTAATCCATTTGAAATTTGGAACAAAACGCCCTTGGAGGTGCTAGGCTACATTAAGAGCCTTCCCATATAGGGCGGGGGCCAACGCACAATAGACCACTTTAGAGGTCGCGGTGCATATGGCCCATAATAATAATAATAATAATAATTTCGTTATCTGGTACGTGATAGAGAAAGGGTGCAAAAATGGTACCTTTCACGCAATTGAGGTGCTCGTGATATTTAGCAGAGATTTGAAAGATGGAAGAAAGGGTTTTTGCCTTTATGAATTTCTCAGCAGTTTTTTTATTTGTAACAAGGAGAAGAAGGCTTTCGTCTCGCAGTTCAGTTATGGTACTTACATCTTTGCTGATAGCTAAAATAGCTTTGTGAATAGCGAAGCATGAGAAGTGAGAGAGTGGCTTTTTTCATCTTGTGAATTGATGACTATAAATTTAGGATCATCGGTTTTTGAAAAATCAATAGGTGGTAGTTCAGGAAAGGATCTTTGGGATTTATTAGTTTTTTTTTTCGTTTTGTCTGAGGGCTAGGGGAAAGTAGGGCAAACCTATAGGTTGTGAAGCCCCAAGGGGCAATGTATACACTATTTTCACAATCACTTAGGACTGAATTTGTTCACTGGATTTTGGGAATCACTAGAAGCATCACAGAGTAACGAAATAGGTATACCCAAAATGTGGAAAATAAGATATCTCTCTCATAGCACACCGGAAGAAAAGAACGTCCGAACACGTCAGAGCTAAGTCGGTGACTGACATCAGAATAAAGAAATCACGAGAAAGAGTCGCCCTGTATGAAACACCGTTTGGTGACAACCCCGAGGCCTATAGGCAACTCCTTTTAGGGCTGTCGAAAGTGTATTTGAAGTAGACTAAGGCACTCCGCATATTAAGCTCCTAATCATAGTAGTGTAATAGTTTCGGTGTGCACACTTAGATTCTTTTGCGAAAGAATATCGGTAAAGCAATGAAGAATTTTTCCGAAGTTTCTTTAAGAAATCGTACAGAAATTTCTTTACGAGCCCGTGTCAACCACTTCATATGATTGTCTTTGGAGATTCGTGAATAAATCGTTACAGAATTCGGAACACACCTCCGATACTCGTTAAAGATCTCGATCAGATTTTGGGAACTTTGGTTTGCAGGGGATGTACTGACTTACCACTAGCTGTTACTGAGGTTTCCAGTTTGGTTACTGTTATTAGACTGGGCTGCTCCGCTGTTGGTTGACTACGAATTGACTCGCAAATCTCACAACTGTCTGTCCAAATGCGATTATATGCATAGGAGCATTTTGAGCACGTCCACGTTCTTCGAGAACTATTAAGCATATTATTGTCAGCCTGAGGTACACTTCGGTTCGAAGATGCGTTCAATCTATAAATGCAAAATAAATATTATGAATTTGCCAAATAATTTGGTTAATCAACATCTTCAAATAAATGAAAGATTTCTATAAAAATTATTCCGTTTATAACAATTCTAAAAAAAGATGTTCATAAGAACGGCGGTGAAAATATAAATAGGAACGCGACATCTAACAAGCTTTGGCTATTTTTCTTTTGTTTATTTAGTGTTCTTCAAAGTATTACTCACTAGCTAACAAAAACCATGGATCGAAAAAATTAAAAAGCTCAATTATAACCAGATACGAAGAAAATAAACTTGATAATATACCACTTTATAAATGTATAAAATAGTTATTCCTAGACACATAGGGAGGGCGTAGATTTAAAAATTTTAACAAGTCATTATAAAAAGTTTGAGATTTAAATTAAAAAAGTGGGGCGCATGTGTCCAGGGTTATTTTTTTGTCTACTTTTCCGTACATTTATTAAAACGTGATTTGTGTGTATATTAAAAAGTTGTTTATGGATTTAGATCATTAATCACTTTTCATATATGTATACATTTTCAAGTCTATTGTGCTAAAGACAATCCAATATACGACTATTTCTATAACATAGGACTATTTGTGTAACATGGCGTATGGGTATCAGATTTTTTATTCATGCTGCGAATTAAGGCTGTGTATGAATCGGTAACATAGTTCTGTGAGAAAAGCTGGTGAAATTAATATTTTAAGAATCTAACATTATTGATTACGATTCATCAAATTAAGCTTTTAATCAATTACTTAAAGCTTTTGGAACATTAAATAAATAATTATACAAGAAATATTCAATGAAGTGTAATACTATATCTTAATTTTGTTTTCTGATGGCTTTGTTTTAGGGCTGCCATAATTGCTAGGCCTCAAACGGGACCCTTAGCAAAAAATCTTCATTCTTTCCAAACTCTAATTTTTTTAAATCATCTTTACACTTATAGTCTCGTTCAATTGTAGAGGAAAACTTAGTTGATGCTCTGTTGTAATACATACAAAAACGGAATTGCATAAACCATAATCAATTTAGATCAAACAAACATTTTATTTTCACTGAATGAACGTATTTATACACATAAAGTATTTTATTATATACATAAGTATGTCATAAGAACATTTCTACGTTTTAAAGTATGTTTATACAAACAAACAAAACAATAACCACTAGAGGTCAAAGTAAAATTTGTGTTCAGTTCAGGAACGTATGTGTTTATATTTCTTAGCGTAAGTGGAAGAAAACAAAACAAGTACTATTTTAACACACTTTTACGTAATACCATGTTCTGACCGACATCGAAAACTTTGCTAAAACTGGTATTCGGCCTAAAACTCGTGTTTTCGTCCACGTAAAATCTATCAAATGAAAACCAGTTTTCGCTGAAAACTATGTACTTGAAAACTCACGAAAGAAATGTCAACGAGAACACTAACAGCCGGTGTGAACAGCCTTCAGCCCACAATCCCAAAACTCGTTTTCAAAGAACATGGTATAACTAACTCATATTACATGTTACAGGGTCTCTTTTCGCGTATACGTAAACTTTAATTTTGATCAGCAACGCAGCCATGCAAGTAAACAGAATGGTTTTTCTTTCTTGAGAACACAATTTTACGATAATTACAACTGACTACTAAAGATGACACTTTTTCAACTATCGATTGAAATCATATATCCGGTCTACTTGTTTCTAATATATAACTAGGAAAGGCAATCAACCTTATCATGAGTTTTATTTTCGCACGAAATTGTTCACTTTCGAACGCGTATTCCTTACGGGTGGATGAAAAATATTCGGGCGAAACTCACGATAAGACTAAATAATTTTCCTCCAACCAATTAAAATTTACAAAATTAAATAAAATTTTGTTGTCCCAAGCATTAAACGGGGACATTTCGGTTGTAAACGGGGACAAAGGGTCCGAAACGAGGACATGTGCCTGGAAACGGGGACTTATGGCAGCCCTACTCTATTTCCTAATATTTATTGTTTTTGCTTAGATTTAACGAAAAATGATTTACATCAACAATCTTGCGATTATCAAAAATTTCTATACATTTGTAAAAAATTTCACTTTACTCGCCGCGAACTTTTTAACCGATTCACACACGCTCTAACAAACAAAAAATATTAAAATGGTAAAATATTATCAAGGCTAAAGCAGTATATCGATTATGCATAAATAGCATTGCAATACTTTGTTCCCTAGTCTTTTTCTTATTGAATGTAAAATAAATAGCTCATTCGTAAAAAAAGTAAAAAATGCAGCTTCCGCTGGACTATAACTGTTGTATTGAATACAATTTGTTAATAAACAGTAATGAAAATATTGTTGTAACGTAAACAATTTAACAATTTAATGAACAGAACCTGAAGGATTTATGAATTCAGCGATTAATTCCAGGATAATCGTAAGAATACATACAGTGACGACATTTTAGCATTCTTTGGCTATTTGCCTTTCGTTTATTTAGTGTTTATTATTTTTTTATGAAAGTGTAGCTCGTTATCTAACAAAAAACATGTAAGTAAAAATTTCAAACTTTGTGCAAAAACTAGCAAAATTGAACAGCTTTTTAACTACATTTTCTAGAAACATTCTAGTATGCAGTCTTGTAGCCCATTCAATTTTATTATAACGAAATCAAAATTCTAAGTAGCTAGGACTTGCCGTTGATTTTTGGCAATTTTTTGTGGAAGGTGTTGCTGAAAATCGTCGAAAATACTTTGTATGAAAGAAAATGCGTGAACAAAAAATTGTCAAAAATCAACGATAAGTCCTAGCTAGTTCAAACTTGCACTTTATTATAGGTATTAAAATCTAAAAAACTCCGTTCTCAAAAAAATTCAAAAAAATCTGATAAACAGTTTAATATTTTGATGAACATTTGTTGAAATTCGCCGAATTTTTATAAATGTTGTACAAAGTTTGAAATTTTGATTTGCTAAGAAAAATAAAAGTGAAAACTTGCTAAAATGTGTCTTCCCTACTTAGACTCTCGCCTCCGTAATATATCACAAAAACGAAACATGGAACACATTTATGAGAGGATTCAGATGCATTAATATTCAAAACTTTAAGGGAATTAAAAAAGTAACAAGTAATTTTTAAGCAAAAACACAACCGACTTCAATTCTCATATAAACATTTAGGAGTACCGTTAATTTTTTCGTGATCCAATGATCGAATCTAAACCAAATTACTATGGATCCACCTTTGACATTACCTTTCCGATAGAAAAAGAATTATCGAAATCGGTTGACGTGGTCCAATGTGGTAACATACATAAAAAAAAATATTCCGACGAACTGTTAACCATCCCCTTTTTTGAAGTCGGTTAAAAAATAAATAACATGAAATGAAGTGCGGAAACAGTAAAAAGAATCGGCCAAAAATGGGCGATGCTGATTAATCGGTCGCACTCTATGAAGGAATCCATTTCCATGGTCGCAGTAACCAAAAAACGTAATTTCTTTATTTTAAGTTCATTGTATGCTGTTTTTAGGCCAAAAACAGAAAAAATTTAAGAATTTTACTTTTTAAAGTTGGTTTGGAAGTCGAGGTAATTTTTCATTCAATCAGACGTTTAAAATGGCCTTCAAAAGTGAAATTTTTGATTTTTGTATTTTGTTACCTAAAAACAGCTGGAAATTTACCTTTTAAAAACAACTTAACCATTTTCTGTTCCTGCGACCATAGTAATGGATTCATTGACGCAAAAACAGCAAAAATATGAATCTGAAATTTTTAAAAAGTTAATTGCATACTGGTTTTAAAACAAAACAAGTAATTTTTAGCAAAAAAAAAAGACTTAAAAAATATATATATATATTTCATGATCCAATGATCGGATCTAAACCAGATTACTATGGGCCCACCTCTGAGACACTACCTTTCCGATGCAAAAAGATTTATCGAAATCAGTTGACGTGGTCCAAAGTTATGCGGCAACATACATACAAAAAAAAATATTCCGACGAACTGATAACCTCCTCCTTTTTAGGAAGTTGGTTAAAAAGAAAAGGATTTAAATCCTGGTAGTTTTTGAGGTCATTTAAATGTCAACGAGACTATTTTCCTCAGTTCCCCATCTAAAAAGCTTTAAGATACCGTTCCATTTATTTCGTCATCTCCTCTCGTTGTCGAATTTGTCATTTTTATTTTTTAAGAAAGGTCATACATCTAACTTATTTATGGGCAAGTTTGGCTATGTTTTATAATCAGGGAACGGATTTTATGGAAAGTGCTTTCCCTGATTCCATATAATATATACATTTGATGTTTGCCTTTTTTTGCTGTTTTTAAGATATTTGCCTTTTCTACCTTTAAAATAAGTGATTATAGCATTTCAATTTTGTGTTTTTTTTTTAATAGTTAAAATTAAATGCCCAGAAAATTAGTATGTATTGAAAATCGCAGTGTGTAGTAGTGAAATACTTAAGCAAACATTAATGGTGATTTCGTTTCTCCCAAAAATGTTGGCTTTCCACAGTGCAAAATATTATTGATGTTACAGTCAACCATGCAAAAGGGCATGTTTTTGCCTTCTTGCCCTTGTCTAGCTCCAACATTGGATAATATATTCGTTTTAAGCAACCATATGGTTTGCAGGGCAACGATCGCCGCTGACAAAGCTTCAAAGGGCGGAGAATGTGGCTTTTTTGCTTTACATGAGTATGACATTTTAAGAAACAAACACAAAATTTATTTTTGATTACATTAGTGGAATTCAACAAAGTGAGCAAGTATCCTGACAGTCTGGCAGAGTGCCAGGCCACTTGCTCAATTCGGTGAATACCACTATTGAGGAGCGGCTTATAGAATCGCAGGGACCTATTGCCGAATTAATGCTGGAAAGTTTCAAAGCCGTTTTCTCAGCTAATGTAGGCTCGGAGACAAAACGGGGTGTGGATAAAATTTTTAAGGGCGAGGAGAAAGCCCTTATTCCTGATAATATGCAAATTTTAAACGTTCCATATTTAAATTGGGC